AGAAAAACACCGGCAGAAGCTTGAGCTGAGTGTGGCAGCAGGGTTTCGTTTGTGGCTGCACTGCAGGAGAGGGGGGGGTGCAGTGGGTTCAGGGCAGTTCTAGGTGAGGCTGGTTAACGCAGCTGCCTCCCCCGTCTTTAAGTAGTTTGTTGGTACCAGTGGTGTGTAAGAAGGACACAACCCTAAAACAGCCCGGAAACACAAAAGATACAGCAGAAGAAGTGTTTGTGACCACCCCTGTGTTGTGTTAACCAGCAGCACAGAGCTCGCCATAGTGGCGCTATCAACTACATGATGAGAGACGTTGGACCCACAGCATGTACAGCCAGTCCAGGCATCGCTGTGAGGTGTGTCAAAGCTACGTAGAGCCATGGCAGTGACTGAGGGCAGAGTCAGGGCTGCGGGTCTCTCCTCTGCTCTCTGGGGAGGCTGCTGTTGCCCTCGTCCACAAGATCAGCGCCGCCGGTTCAAGGACTGTCAGAGGCAAAGGATCACACGTTTGCCTACACTCGGAGGCTCTGTGACATGGCAGCCAGGTAGCTGCAGTCACACCCTGGGAAGTAGGAAAAGGTGACTGCTGGAGTTTGTCGTCAAGTACCAACTCATTGACAAGACAGCAGAATGGGTCCTCGGCCATCGGCCAGGGAGCCTTGATGCAGCAGTGACTTTGGTGGACAACCAACTACTACGGTGGATGGAGGACCCTGGGTGGATGCAGTCGTCGGTTGGGAATCTGCCAGTGCCGGCCCCGAGGAGAAGAATCCTCGGCTCTCCTCCAGCTACTACTGACCTGTTTTCCTCTGCTTCCCCTCTGCAGGTCCTGGGAGCTACAGGCACTGGACCCATCTCACAGGAAGTCACACAGACGGCAGGGCAGGAGTGCTGGTGCGGGCATCCACACAGTGCCCACTGATGGAGGTGGGACAGGTGTTCGGTGTCACTGGCCTCCCAGCACCTTCCCCTGGCCTGGGAGTGACGTACAACGTTCCAGTAAGGCACCAAAGGGCTGAACACCAGGCTATGGTGGACTCAGGCTGCATGCAGACCTTGGTCTACCAAACTCTGGTTTGACTCTGGGCGTTGTTGGAGAAAGAGTGGGTTTAGATCCTGTGTGTGCAGCCATAGTGCCCGTTGAAATGAGGTATAAGGGCAAAAAGCATGGAGTCAAACCTGCTGTTAGCTCATGCCTGAATCTTGGGAAGGTGGGGGCTATGATTTCTGGCTTAGTTCAGTGGGTTCAGGGGTGGGAGGCTGGGTAACATAGCTCCCATCCATCCATCCATTTTACACATCAAAGTGTTCCCAGGCCACCCGGGAGAGATAATCTCTCCATTGTGTCCTGAGTTTGCCCTGGGGCCCCACTGAGACACGCCCAGGACATGTCCAGGAGGCACAAGGAGTCATCCTTGTCAGAT